GAATCAAACTCAGGACCTTGCACTTGCCAGGCAGGCGCTGCATTGCTGAGCTCTAGCCCTGCCCCTGCTCTATTCTAACTAAATGTGATTCTATATTTGTACATGTTTTGAAAAGCAGGAGGCATTGAGGAGCATGCCAGAGGAGCAAAACATCCTTCACCACACGCACAGAGTCCAGTTAAAATGTAAACACGTCCTCTGTGAAAAAATATCCGTAAGACATCGTCAGCCAGCACCATAAGAGGAGTTAGCTTCAGGCAGCCAGAGAGCTCCCAGGATGAACAGTTGCAGGGAAGAAAAGGATTGAATGAGGCATTATAAATCAAATATCTACAGAAGCCAACTGAGGAGCAGAAATAATGGAGAGAGCTAAAGGGAATGGCGAAAACTGGAGAACTGTCCCTCAGCTTCTCGCCTTGCAGGACTATAGGCCCTGGATTATCCCATCTTTAAATTTTTCCAAATAAATATTGACTCAAGGTATTTTAAACAATTAAGCCAAATATGCCTCTGCACCAGAGACGAGTATAGGGCACTAAATAAACCTCCAATGTGCCACGTTGTACTACTAGGGAATAACATGTAGGGGTGGGGACTTGAAAAATGGGAGTAGGGCTATAAGGAAAGATCACTCAGGATTCAATGATCTGAGATAATCTCTGATGAGGAAATTCAGAAAAGCAAGCAAACCAATAGGTTGAGGAGGTCAGGAGAGGGGTTTTAAACATTCATTCTGAATGCTGAGCCCTATTTGATATGTGCTTTATGGATCAGCTCTGGAAAAATCCACAGAAATACAGTTGGCAGACTTCTGACTCCCCACAGATGTCCACATTTCCACCCTTTGCTTGGCCTCCCTCCATGTCACCTTACACATGCAAAGATTTTCTAGAAGTGGCTGAGTTAAGGGTCTTGAGAGAGGGCGATCATTCAGGCGTATCCTCACAAGGCCAGTATAATCATGTGCATTTCTAAAGGAAGAAAACCTTTCTGGCCATGGGTAGAGTAAGTTGTGACTACAGAAGAAAGAGCAGTGATCCAATGTCACTGGCTTTGCAAGTGGAGGAAGGGGCCACAGGGCACGGGACCCAGGCCACAGGCCACGGGATCCAGGCCAGCCACCTCTGGAACAAGAAAAAACAACGCAAGAACTGGTTTTATTCAGAGCCTGTAGAAAGAAGCACAGCCCTTCTGTCACCTTTACTTTGGCCCATAAGAACCATGTTGGACTTCTAGCCTACAAAACTATGATATAATAAAGTTGTGTTTTAAGCCACAAGTATGTGGTCATTCATAACAGCAAAATTAGAAAACAGATACAGTGTATATACACTCAAATTTTAGAAAAAATATTCCCAGACCTCCCTGAGTTCATCTACAGATTCAGGTAAAGGGTCCTTCTAGAAAGAGCCCAGGATATAGCAACCTCTGACCGCTGTAGGCATAAAACTATCTGGCATGTGCAGAAAGATCAATACTTATCCCCTGACCTTCATCAGCTCTGAAATGTCATTTTATAAGACTGAATTAATTTTCGGGGGATGATTCCTCCAGGTCTTACCCAAGTGGTGTGTGAGTGCCTGACAGTTCCTTGAGACAGAGAGATGGTCCTTCTCTTTTTTGCAAAGCTAGCTGGGTCACTAGCTCTCTCCCCCACCTCCAAGAAGGTGGCATTTTACATCTGCTGAGGTTTAGCCTGACTTCTTCCCTTGCTTTGGGCCAGACTGAGGCCTGGTGTCTCCTGGTGCAGTGTCATGTCTCTGTCAAGATTCTCTTATACAGCCAGACCTGGCCATAACACATAAGAGGGTATTATCAGCAGTGTGAGCTACCTGACTCAAAGCTGTTTTTAGCCTCAGATCTTCTTTCATCAGTTCATCGAATTTCACAATCCCTATAATAATTTGAGATATACTGTATTTTTTTTAAAGTTCCACTACAGTGTCCTTGGGGTGATGCCAACATGTAGTTTGAAGGTTACCACCGTCATCTAAATAGTAAACCTAACACTGAGACACAAATGGCCCAACATCACTTCTTATCTGAGGGTGAGCACCGGTCCTGGAATTCCTGGCACTGGCACACACAACACTTTGCAATGCTGCTAGCTCAGAAAGCTAGATCCCAAACATTGGTAAAAGTGGGAAAGAGAGGCTAGAGGGAGGAAGGAACAGCAAGGTGTTTAGGATGCTATGGAGATTTGCTAAAGGGCAGAGGATGTGGGCCAGACCGCCTTCTGCAAGAAGTTGCTAGTCTGTTAGGGACGGGAACATGGCCCTGCTGAAGGAGGAAAGGGCCATCTCTGCACCTGGTTTCTGTTCTTGGCAGACAGCGAAAGTCCACAAACATTCTAAGATTTCACACAGGTGTGCATATGCCTTTTTCGGGAGGCAGCTTGATATGAACCTCTGTGAATCTGAATAAAGTGTAACACCACACAGCAGTGTACGAATTGCTGCTCTGGGGCTGGGGGAGATAACTCGGTAGTCTAAGTACCTGCCTGGCAAGTGAAAGGACCCAGGTTCAATCCCAAGTACCGCATACTGTGCCTGCCCCAAAACTGAGCATGGTGGTACATGACTGTGATCCCAGTACTGGGGAGGCTGAGGCAGGAGGATTACTACTAGTCTGAACTGAGTAGTGAGACCTTGCACCAAATAAATAAACAAATAATTTTAAAAACAACACCCTTATAGTACTATTCTAACTTGGTACCATTAGCAATTAACTAGTCATGTAAGTGGTCACTACAGACTCCTACTAAGTCTTGAATTTGCCCTCTGACAACAGTAAAATTGTCAGCTACCATTCCAACCATACATAAGATATAAAATGGTTTTAAATTTGCATGACTTGAAAAGATTAACTTCTAATATCATTTTTCTCTGTTGGCTTCTGCTGAATGTCCACCCCTAAAGACTGCCATACATGCCAAACAAACAGGAATGCTTTAGTTTGGGGTTTTGCTTGTTTGTTTTTGCTTTTATACTATTTTGAAATATGCATGGGAATGTGTTGACCTTCTCCTTGCTCAGGGAGGCAGTCCTCAGGCTGGTGGGGGAGGTGCAGCAACTGGCAGAGTAACTGATTCTAGCCCCAGATGCTTCTCACCAGCGGCTTCGAGTAAGAGGACAGACGCCCTGACCAGTTGGGAGGTGACCAAGTCCACTGCAACCGCTGTTACCTGAGATCAGGTAAGAATAAAGACAGAATAGATGGCAACTTGTGAGACTTGTGAAGGATACGTGTGTTCCCACTTAGGCAGGGGACCACCTCACCTCTGGAGTCCCCTCCAACCCTTTAGATCTTCCAAAGTACAAATAACAGTGCTGATTCACTCAGACTGTGCGGCCTTCGGAAGCCACTGCTAAAGGTCACGTCAGTCACAGCACTCCCTTTCTACTAGGCGAAGGCTACGGTTACACTGTACATGAGATCCTACAAAGACAGCTGACACAACCAGCAGTTGGATTCCTTCTTCTGTTTATTTCAGAAGAGATTTTCCACAGACAGCTGCAGCACCATGCTCCCGTCAGAATGTCCTGCCAGCCTTTCTGCAATCATCTTTCCACCCACATCCTTTCCCTGGATCCTGTCCCCAGCAGACTTGTCTGGTCAGTCCTGTGGCCACCCCCGAGCTAAGGCCCCGGGACAGTGGGAGAGTCAGCACCGAAGCTGCCGCACCACACACCAGCAGATGTAGGACCAAATTTCAGCTGCGCCCATCTTGCTTGGGTAGCATCAAGCAAGGCCCTTAATGTGTCATCCTCAGGCTTCATAAAACAGGATGAAACTCTGGTTTCTCTGCAGACCATATAAATCTTTCACCTCTTACTAAAATGGGACCAAGGGTAAAACTCTGCCGGCACCATTGGAGAAGGCTGAGTGAAGTCAGGTGAAAATCTAGTGGCATGGACATACCTGGGCATCACCAATTTGTCATTGTCATAGAAGAAAACACAATTGTTTCTGGCATGGAAAAGGGGGGCACAATGAAGAGAAACAGCATTTCTGAATAAAAGCAGCACCTGTGTCCACTCATCCCTGAGCTTTATGGGTAACTATCTTGAAATGGAAAGACAGAAAATGCATCGTTTACATTTCTATCCAATGCAGTGACTCTTCTTCTAAACCCCTTCAAGTAGCTTCTCTGACCGGAAGCACCATTGGCAAAAGGTGGACAGCCTTCGTGCTTAGTGCCAAGCACCTAAGTTAGTGCTGCTGAGAAAGACCCAGTACTGGTTCTGACAACAAAGGGCCCACCTTGGCTGGAGTCGCACTGTGTCCTGGCACCGGAAGGAGCTGTGCTGCGGGCTCTCGTAAGCTGGCGTTCCTGCTCTACCCAGGCACTCCGACCGGCTGGGCACCACATGCTCTGTCTCCTATAAGAAGAAACAACGAAAGCAGATGAGCCGGCAGCATCAACAGTTTGACAGCACCCTGTAGCTGGGGCAGCCTTGGGGCAGGGGAGCGGCAGCACCTAAAACACTGTACTGGATGCCCTGGGGCATGAAGCCAGTTAGGGGCTGCAGTTTATAGACTCCATCTGTCAGCTGTTACTAGATGCTTGAATAAAAACTTTCAAATCCATGTCCAAAAGACACAAGATAGCCATACAACTATTTTTAAAGCTAACTTCCAAGATGTGACTGATCAGAGTATTAAATCTTTTTGTCTTTTCACACTTAGGTTTGTTTTTTTTTCTTTGTCCATTCTATTCCAATTGATAAAACTTTATTTTCTCCAACCTGTTTCCTTACCTTTAAATGACCCAAAAACTCACCATTCCTTGTTCACTAGCAAGGGGCTTGCGATTTGAGAGAGTGTGCTTCCCCAATCTCTAACTATGATCTGATAAATGCAGTTGATATATCCATGGTTTGGAAAAAATACATGTATTCAACTCTTAGCACAAACAAGGCACTGTAAACATGAACTAATAGGAATTAAAATTCAAAAAGTTATAAATCTTCCCTATTCTGTTATCGCCTTAGGATTCTTACCCTTAAACTTACATACAATTGTGAAAATGACCTTACAGTCTTTTGAATAACTGGGCAATGTTATAGCTAGGGCTTCCAAGAGAAATGATTTAATACAGGACACATAATTGATAGGATTATTTTATATTTTATAATATTCAACCCAAGAGCCAAATGTAGAAGAGTGCAGGAGATCTGTCCATGCACTACAGATCCAAAGAGTCCAGCTGAGGGCCTGGACACCACAGTAATGTCCTGCACGAGTCCAGCTGGAAACCTAGAGCCCACGGCAATGTCTCAGCAAGTCTGCATCAAAGGATCTGCATTGGGAAGGCCCAAAAGTCAGTAGTGGAAACGAGGCAGTCTGCTCCAGGCTGAGGGGTCTGCACTGAAGTGAAGCTCAGAGCAGAGCCAGAGCTCCCCTAAAGAGGGACGGCAGCCATCCTCAGTGGCAGTGAGGACCTGAGCTCCTCCAATGATGAGACAGCTCAGTTCATATCAGAAAAGCCACATGACAGATTTTTCCAGGAAAATCACAGCACATCGTACCCTCCAGTTCTCTTTTTCTATTGTTGGCAACAATTCTCAAGTTGATATTCCACACCCAGAAACACCTGACTCAGTTCAGCTGGGTGCTACAAGTTGATCATTAGTTAACCTACCATAGGTGATTTTAAATTTGTGTGTGTGTGTGTGTGTGTGTGTACACCCAGGATTGGTCTCAGGACCTTATACTGTCCAGGCAGGCACTTATACTACTGAGCCATCTCCCCAGCCCCACCTCAGGTGATTTTAAAGACATTTATCCCCAGATTTTAAAAACTATACTATCAGATTATTACATTTATGTCATAAATGTAGTAAAGTTGACCCTGAAAGAGCTAATTTAACTTTCCTTAAAAAAATCTGGAAATCTGAACAACTAATTTGAAGATAGCAATACACAATACAAGAATCATTGTTGAACTCTTATCATTTTGTTTAGTGAAATTCTGTATCATTTCTAATGTTTCTAATGGATTTTTTTACTATTTTTAAATTCTCTTTCAAAACTAAAACATGTCTATTTTTTTTAAAAAAAACTGTCTATTTTCAAAGGAAAAAAAGGGAAATTGAAGTGAATACACATTTCTCAAAAGAAGTACAAGTGGCCAAGGAGCACATGAAAAGACATTCCCCACCTTTGGCTGTTCTACAAATGCAAACGAAAGCAATACTGAGATCCCAGTTACTCGAGAAAGAATGGCCATCGTCAAGAAATTAAATAATAACATGCTCATGAGGCTGTGAGGGGAAAAGAGAACCCTTCTATGTTGGTGGTGGAAATGTGAACTAATTCAACAACTATGGGAATCAGTAAGGAGATTCCTCATAAAAACGAACTAGAAATTCCACTTGACCCCGACACAGCTCTTCTGGGTAGCTTACCAAAAGAGTTAAAGGCATTACTTTATGGTGATACATCACACCTGTTTATTGCGGCACAATTAATAATAGCTGAACTGTGAAAGCAAGCTCTGCAGCCATTAAAGAATGAATGGATTAAGAAGATATGTAAACATAATGGAACACAGCCCAAAGGAGGATAAATTCGAGCTATCTGTAGAAAAATGGATAGAACTTGCAACTACAATGCTAAGAGAAATCCTATTCAAAAGGTTAACTATCTCAGGGTTTCTCTTATATGAGAAATCTGAAATAGAAGCAATTTAAAGACCAAAATAAAAGAGATGCTAGCCAACACTGAGGCAGACTTTGTGAGGGCACAGGCTGAAGTCTGCACATGCCCAACAAGACCTCTTCTGCTCCTGTCTTTATGATGCAGCGATATTACTCAGTTTATGTCACTGTTGTAAGCATTTTAGTAAAAAATGCATCCTGTGCACTTTGCAAATCTAAACACATTCACTACATGCCTGAACTAAAGGAACTCTTTGCCTATATGTACTGATTTAAAACTAGGAGATAGGTTTTATTGAGCTTCCTTTAGGATTGGAACACTTGTGGGGCCCAAGGGAGATTTTCACAGGTGAGGTCCCAAGGTTAAAGAATATATGTATGCAACACATCAGCAAAACAGCAGGCAGAATGGAGCAGAGCAGAGAGCAGCCTCTCTTTCTTCTATAATTCTCACACAGCTTGTTATCACATACTTACATTCCTACACAGTGCCGTAGCCAGTACATGTGTGCTTACCTGTGCTAAACCAGGGTTACATAACTGCATCCCACTGTGCACCTGCGCTAGACAAGTGGGGACACATCCTCAGGTGTCTTCTCACATTAGTTCCTCTGACCCTCCTAGGAATTACGCCTTGTACAAGTCTCCGATCCTCCAGTCACACCTCACTAAGTCCACATGAGGCCTCAAACAAGATGAAGCAGATAGGAAAAGGCAAACAGCTTCTGGTCACGATCACATCGCTCCAGTTTTTAATAGCACTGGCATCTCCCACTGCCATGGCCGGGCTTTTATCCCACCCTTTGAGCCAGACTGATTCCTCAAAGCTAAGAGCCTCCCTACACTTGATTGCTGTGACTCTTGGGATTCTAGAACTGGCCATCCCAGAAGCTTTATGGGCTCTCTAAGTTTCTGTCTATACTTATTCATCATTCAAATATTTGGTTACTATCAAGTGCTACCATCTGTGCTTCTCTTGGTTCCTGTGTCCTGCTCACAGTCTGCTAGTGGGGTTCAGGGGGGAACGTGCGTGACAGAAACATGGATATGTTATTATGGCGCAACACAAGCAGTGCTATGGTAGGATAAAGGTGAGCGCATGGGGATTTGAGAAAATGCAGGGAAAAAAACCAAACCCAATTCTATGGAGAAAAGAACCATAGATGTGACTGAAACGATGAAGCCACATCCGCAGGAAGAGACTGAGAGGAGGGGAAAGAACCTTCCAAAACAAACATATGGGATGAAAATCACATCAGGCTTGAGTGGCAAATGGACCAGAAGAGGGGCAGAGGAAGGGAGGATAGACAGCTACCACACCCCGGGCAAGAGGGGACTGTCACTTGGACTGCAGAGATGGTGATTCATATGGACAAAAATCAATCATTTAAGATATTGAAGAAGCAGAAAGAATGCGTGCTCTATGCATGCAAGTGTGTGTACACAGGAGGCAGTGTGGATATAACTGTGTGCTTATGCTTCTTAGGGAACATGCTGATTTTCAGCTGCTCAATTGCTAGAGCTGTCTAATGAATATGTGTTACTTTATAACTTAAGAATATTTACGTCTCAAAAATTTTAATAAGGCCAGGTGTGGTGGTACATGCTTGTAATTCCATTGGCTCTGGAGGGTGAGGCAGGAAGATCACACGTTTGAAGTTAGTTACGCTGGGCCACCTGGTGCCTGAAAGAGATTGTGTCTCAAAATACAAAAGGGTTGGGGATACAGCTCAGTGTGAAGGTTCTAGGTTCAGTCTTTCCTATGAGAGAAGCGAGGAAAAAGGAGAGAGGAGACAGGAGCAGGAAACAGACAGACAGAGAGAGACAGAGAGACAGAGACAGAGACAGACAGAGATAGAGACAAAGGCAGAGAGAGAAACATACAGACAGAGATATACACAGAGAGAGACAGAGACAGACAGACAGACAGATAGAGATAGATACACAGACAGACTGGAGACACCAAGAAAGCCAAAAAAAGACAGACGGAAAGAAAAGGCAGAGTGGGGTGTCACAGGTTCAAGAAGGAAGCTTCCTGCCTAACCACGTTTTGTATTTCAGTGGAATGATAGAGACTTTTAACTCCATAAGGGAAAGCAGGGTACAGCAATAAAAGAAACATTACATATTAGTAAAAGTGCACTCGACAATATGACATCTGTCAGAAGATGTTATAAATAATGTTTTTTAAAATAGGTGGCACTGTTTCTTACAATCTGTTCATGGTGAATTTTTAAAATGACATAAAACTTTCAAAAGCAAGGAATCAAAAGTCATGGCTAAATAGGACAACTAGGGAGATGAGTCACTAAAGTCTAAAAATATGGCAACACGAGCAAGCTTCAGCCTTCTTACGAGAAACTGGTCGGATTCTCAGCACAGAAATATGAAAGAAAGCAGCACGGCACCTGTGACACACGCACGTCCGCGCATCCGACGGTGGCCTCCCGGCCTGTTACAGAGCCTGGAGAACTACTCCAACTTTAAGAGATTACTATAAGCTTAAGAACAGGAAACACTGATTTCTGTGGTTTTATTTTTTATTTATTTTATTTTGTTTTGGAACCTGGGATTGAACTCAGACCCTTGCGCTTGCCAGGGAAGTGCTTATTCCACCGAGCCATCTCTCCAGCCCCTCTGTGATTTTAATATAAATTAAAATCATATATATTTTAAATAACATCCATTGAGCTTAAGTTCCTTTAAATACCTCTTACTTG